ACTGCTGCAGTGCTGGTTGGGTCTGGTGCTTGTCCTAGTCCTGGAGGATAATTAAAGCCGTGAAGTCCACTTCCTTACTGAGCAAGTAGCAGAATATATATATATATATTTAAGACTAAAGTATATCCTCAGTGTATATAGCACGGGACGTGGTATTCTATACACCTGTATTTCTAGAATCTATAGAAATACAGGTGTATCTCCATCGTCCTAGTGTTTGACCTCGTCTTCTTAACAAAGGTGAAAGTTTACAAAGAGGCTCCAACGTCATTCAGCGCCTTGTGAATATATTTCAATAACCATTACAATAAGTGAAAATCCGGTTTTTGTTCATATCGACTTTTGTCGTGGCTGTCTTTGTGTGTAGTGAAAGAAGGTTTGTCCGATATCCCGGTTCGTTCTCTGAATAACAACGATTAGTTCAGTCATGATTTGTTGTTATTGTTTTATGTTCCATATTGTGTCGGCAATATTATTTTTGTCATTTGAAATTTTAATTTTTGCAATTTTTAAAAATTATTGTGGGAGATGTGGGCCATTATCCAGGGATATTATTTTCCATTATCCATTATCCAGGAATAACTTGTTTGCTTTCTGGCGAGTCATGCTTATTCTCTCTCTCTCTCTCTCTCTCTCTCTCTCTCTCTCTCTCTCTCTCTCTCTCTCTCTCTCAAGAGATAGAGAGAGAAAGTGAATAAATAGCATGGCATTAAGGAAAATGAATATGATATGTGGAGACATTTGGAATAACAGCCGCTAAACATAAGAACAAGTAGTCAAGAATAGTCTTCAGTGGTCTGAATTTAGGTGTTTTGAGTTTTTGTATAGAATCGATAAACATTACGATAGTTTTGAGTCACGTGAATGTTCATTACAATGACACTTAGCAAGCTAGCATTACGTTGTAAAGACATTTGGCCAGTTACAGGCCGGATCGACTTGAGACGGTCCAGGACGGTCCTCGGTCCAGGACGGACCGAAACGTCGTCGTCCCTTCACCTTCTAGTGTGTGGTCTGGTCAACATTTGGCCAGTTACATGTCAACTACAATGTAATTTAAACAGGTAGATGTGCATTGCGATATCATTTAGACAGCTGCGCACTGCCACTCCTTGCAATCGAAAGATCTGTGGGTTGATATCACACCCGAACTGTCCCCCTGAAGCCCTCATCAAAAAGATATCATTAGCGGCATATGCAAGGCTGGCAAACATGAGAAGGGCCTTTAAAAACTTGTGTAATGAATCATTCAGAACTCTATATCTCTCATATGTCAGACCAATTCTGTAGTATGCGGCTCCAGTCTGTAGTCCATATCTAGTCAAACACAGAACGAGGTTGGAAAAGGTTCAGAGGTATACCATCAGGCTAGTCCCCGAGCTGAGGGGTATGAGCTACGAGGAAAGATTAATGTACTAAACCTCACGACACTGGAAGACAGAAGAGTTAGGGGAGACATGATCACCATCATCGTGGCTTCGTCGGTTAGGTTAGGTTCTGGCAATTTAGTACATCAATTCTGTGACGTTATGGCAACTGGGGAGGAAGGGGCTGGAGGTATAACCCGCTTTGAAAGGATCGTGAACTGAGAGTTTGCTTGTGTCCTGGACCATGTTCAGGACTAAATATACTTGCTGGGCTGGCCAGTAAGATATATTGGTAGCCTTAATAACCCTCCAGAGGTTGATTAGCCTAAACCAAACAACCGTCAAGACGAATAATGACTTGTAATTAAAGTTCGGATCACTAGTACATGTGACACGTTAAATATCAGCAGACGAGGAGTCACAATAACGTGGGTGAAATATGGTGACCAAACCACACTAGAAAGTGAAGGGACGACGACGTTTCGGTCCGTCCTGGACCATTCTCAAGTCGATTGTCTTGAGAATGGTCCAGGACGGACCGAAACGTCGTCGTTTCACTTTCTGGTATGTGGTTTGTTCAACACGTTAAGTATCACATCGACACAGATTCAAACCTGTGAGAATTGTAATAGGCTATTTTATGACGTGTCTTGCAACGCAAGGTTCATGAAGCGGAACTGTGTGACAACGCAAGGTTCATGAAGCGGAACTGTGTGACAATGCAAGGTTCATGAAGCGGAACTGTGTGACAACGTAAGGTTCATGAAGCGGAACTGTTTGACAACGCAAGGTTCATGAAGCGGAACTGTTTGACAACGCAAGGTTAATGAAGCGGAACTGTTTGACAACGCAAGGTTCATGAAGCGGAACTGTTTGACAACGCAAGGTTCATGAAGCGGAAATATGTGACAACGCAAGGTTCATGAAGCGGAAATATGTGACAACGCAAGGTTCATGAAGCGGAAATATGCGACAACGCAAGGTTCATGAAGCGGAACTGTGTGACAACGCAAAGTTCATGAAGCGGAACTATGTGAAAACGCTTGGTACAGTGAGCGGAACTGTGTGACAACGCAAGGTACAGTGAGCGGAACTGTGTGACAACGTAAGGTTCATGAAGCGGAACTGTGTGACAACGCAAGGTTCATGAAGCGGAACTGTTTGACAACGCAAGGTTCATGAAGCGGAACTGTTTGACAACGCAAGGTTCATGTAGCGGAACTGTGTGACAACGCAAAGTTCATGAAGCGGAACTGTTTGACAACGCAAAGTTCATGAAGCGGAACCGTGTGACAACGTAAGGTTCATGAAGCGGAACTGTGTGACAACGCTTGGTTCATGAAGCGGAACTGTGTGACAACGCTTGGTTCAAGAAGCGGAACTGTGTGACAACGCTTGGTTCAAGAAGCGGAACTGTGTGACAACGCAAGGTTCACGGAGCGAAACTGTGCATCTCATCAACAGGTGTCTTGTTGCACGAGTCCGCGTGGGAGTGGGGTCGTGGTCAGCCCTGCTCCACACCTCGATATGTTCTAGTTACAATACTTCACAGGTGGAATTTTGATGGCCGATGTTTTATCACTTTATCTCGCACTTTTCCCTGTGAGCGAGAACTCTCTCCCACAACACAACTTGTCATGTTCGAGTATCATCGCACATCTCGGGTTGGGTTCCACCTTGTGAAACTAAACTTGCCACACACACGCCTCCACTTAGTGTACCCTATTATCACCCATCGTATATTATGTTAGTATAGAAGCTTCAGACCCCCCGCGCCTGTGTCAGGTAAATCCACTACGGGCTCACCATAGCCTGTGCTACTTGGAACTTTTGTTCCGAATAGCTGAATCTAAAACAACAACAACAGCTTCAGACTACTCGAGCATCTAGTAGTGGAGTGATAGGCTCGCTAGCCTCGTGAGAGAGAATCTGGGACTATCGTACACTACTTCTAGCTTCTAATTCGCTCCTGTTCATTCTGCTGTAGTAATTAGGGATCCGGGTGTTAAGCAATTGGGGCATCGTTTCAAGGGAAAGGCACTTCATTGAATAACATAACTAATTACAGTCCCTGGTAACAAAAACCAAACACCAATATGTGAAATCTAAATTGACCACAACAAAATTAGCCTGCATTTGCATGTTCCCACCGAAATCAGGTTTAATAGAGGCAACTGCAGTATTTATCACACAATAATTATTGTCTTATTGACGTGCAATTTAAATATATTTTTGTGATTATATCTAAATAAAATTCCTCATGCCTCTCACCCACTATGTGTGTGAGTGTGTTTACTATTTGTGTCTGCATGCTCAAGCTCTTGGATCCCGCCTTCCTAACCGCCGGTTGTCTAATGTGAGTGTGTTCCATTATATACAGAACATATGTAGCTGCAGATGTTCTAGCGTGTAGCGCGAGAGATCATACGGGATATGCAGAATTATTAGGAATTCCTTTCGGGAACATCAGATGGTTGTCATATTGCTTATATTAATATAATTTTTATTTCTCATGGCTTCATTCATTTTCAATTATAAAATATGAAAATAATTTAAATTTTCAATTTGCAAAGTTGGCGGAGTTGTGATAGTTAACACAGTAACCTCATACCGTGAGAATAGGTAACACAAATTTAAGAATATAAGCTTTAAATATAAAACATTTTAAATGCAATTTACACCAGAAAATCAAACTTGGTAAAGTTCTGATCATATTGTAGGTATTTATATGACCAGAAACGTGCGAGTCTTTATTGAGTATTTAATATAAAACAATACGAAGTGATGGAAAATAGATGATAGAAAGCCCTGGATAATTTAGAAGCGAGACATCGGTGACTAGCAAGATTCATCATTATAACTGTATACTGTTTTACTTTAGCTTCACTTTAATTATATACTTATTCTTTATACTTTACATAATTTTACTGCGGTCTAACTACGGGCAGTGATGCGAGTAAGGAAAACACCTCTGAGGTTATGTAAGTAAAATGATGCATCTGAGTGTTTTTATAGTAAAATAAAACCATCTACATTGTTTGGCTATCCAAATAGTTATTTTTAAATGTTCATAAGAATGATATTAATTGTGGTTTTACCAGTTTACATATTACTCTATTTTATTAATTGTGGTTTATATATTACTCTACTTTAGCCCTGATCATGTCTATGATTATAAAGTTATACCATGTGGTTAGTCGGTAAGCAATTGTGTGGCCTTAATTACCTTCCAGAGGTTGATGTTCTTATGTCCAACACCACAGTCGTTAACCTACAAGGAATATACGCTGAGAAGTGAACTCTGCTTCTAGGTGTATATACTCGAAGTTCTCTTTAGTTCTGAATTATGTTCAGGAGTAAGGTATACCTGATGGACGGTCAGTAAGCTATAGTTTCGGCCTTAATAACCTCCAAGAGATTAATTGGTCTTAAACCCAACACCAACGGAAACGATTGTGATGTGTCTGATACGATCATCCAGTTGAATGTCTCAATGATTTTACCGGAGATCACGTGGAGATACCAAACAGATGGTATGCGAGAGCAGGGAAACGTACATAAGGGAACATCTCTCACCTGGAGAGATGTGGGTAAAGTCTTTCTCATGGGGAGGTGTCTGAAAGCGTCTCTCACCTGGGCAAGAGTGTGGCGTTGGTCTGGCGGCGTGTGGAGAGGTCGGATGTGCACGGTTGCAGGGCGGATGGTCAATGCTCCACACACCCTCCAACACACCCTTATATACACCTTGGCGACATATCTAACCCGCCCACCCACCGCTTCCCTCACATACCTCTCTCTCTCCCACATACCCCTCCCCCTAGAGTGTAGCCACGCCCACATCTCCCCTCGCTGCACCATAGCAAGCCACGCCCCCTTCCCACACCTTGTGCGCTGACGTTGTCTGGCGCCACCACTTCTGCCTCACACTTCTTGATCTCTCGCTCCTCGACGCTCGTAGGGCATATGGGCTCTCAGGGGGTGGATCATCCCCCATAAAAAATACCCAAATGTATTTCTTCAATGATATTTTCTTCGTCTATTATAAATAAATATAAGCACTTCATTAATTTATTTTTAGTAGGTAAGAGGTTTAGTGACAATTAAATTCTATCCAGAGTTTGGTTGTTCAGGTCAACCTAAAGTGCCTGAGGACTTATTGTTACATGTGCTATAGCTCCATTGAGGCGCTCGGAGCGAGAAACATCAGGCCCATTCTACTAGAGGAAGGAACTTTTTGTAGAATTATGTTTTATTGTTTATAATCTGTATCCACTTACAGTTTCCCTAGTTCGTATCTTTGTTATTTATTCTTAACACTAACATTTAAAATTTTGCTTAAATCAGCCCATTCTTCAATAATAATAGCATTTTTATTAACTATTCCGTCAAATGTGTCCAAAATGAACCAATCCATGTAAATTAACCTTTTGTACGTTAACCCATTTGGGTTAGCGTAAATGGCATCCTTTAAAAAACTAAAAGTAATCTAACCTATCCAAGGCCTAAAAAACCACTGTGCTACTTCCATCTTCAGACAATCGACTTGAGAATGGTCCAGGACGGACCGAAATGTCGTCATCCCTTCACCTTCTAGTGTGTGGCCTGGTCAACCTAAAAAAACAACGCTAGGTCTAATTTAGAACATTCGTGTTATACAAGGCCTTGGAAAGATTAAGATTGGTGTTTGACGTTTTATTTCCCCTGACATTTACAGAATTATTAGTACACACCGTGAAGTTTGTTGGCTGTAACAATCCATTTTTGCACGTTCGACCAAATAGTTGATATAAACACTGTCATTTCTAGAGGATGGGTTAACAAATTCATTCATGAACATTCAGAAATTAATATTAACGATTGATTACTTCAGTTGATATAGAGTTGATATTACTTCAGTTGATATAGAGTTGATATTACTTCAGTTGATATAGAGTTGATATTACTTCAGTTGATATAGAGCAGAATGGGCCTGATGTTTCTCGCTCCGAGCGCCTCAATGGAGCTATAGCACATATATAATGATTCACTGAGAGCTCTTGGTTCGTTCGCTACTCTCAATAGAAAATTACCAAGATTACCAATTATATATATATATATATATATATATATATATATATATATATATATATATATATATATATATATATATATATATATATATTACCTAATAGCCAGAATGCACTACTTGGTCTACTATGCAAGTCCCAATTTGTCTAATAAACCAAGTTTTCCTGAAGTTATATATGTATTTACTTTTCGTATGAAATGATAAAGCTTTTCATTACATTACATATGAGTTCATTTTGTTTAAGTTAAAACAAACGTAGAAATGTGACCAAACCTAACCTACCATACCTAACCTAACCTAACCTACCATACTTAACCTAACCTAACCTAACCTAACCTAACCTAACCTAACCTAACATAATTAAGCCAGTAATTCATCTTCTTAATATAATTTAATAATATTAATTCATATAAACCAATTTGAAATATTTTTTTGAAAATAACAAAAATTTCTCTGCCTATTAGGTAAACTGGGCTTTGCATACTAGGCCGAGTAGTGAGTTTTGGCTGTAAAGTATGTCATACGTATAATATGATAATGTCAGACCACGAAAGAATGATTAAGACAGTCTATCACTCCATCAAAGAACCTAATTCATTTCCTGCCTCTTTATCCGATAAAGCCCTAATCACGATAGTGAGGTAACTCTCACAAATAATGACATAACTGCTTTATGAATCAGGTGAATGTCTGGACAACTGCACCAAGTTTTTAAACCCATGGACGACGGGTACAGGAAGGGTTGCCTGAACCTAACCTGTCAAGCCAAAAACACACGAACCGAAGCAAAATATATTTACATGTGATTCCAGTACACGTACACTGTAAATAATTTAACGTCATCATTATTTTGGATTGGAGTATATGTTAGATTGAGACCACACAGAGTGTTGCTATGGCACTGGTGACCGCCCAGAGTGTTGCTGTGGCACTGGTGACCGCCCAGAGTGTTGCTGTGGCACTGGTGACTGCCCAGAGTGTTGCTGTTGCACTGGTGACCGCCCAAAGTGTTGTTGTGGCACTGGTGACCGCCCAGAGTGTTGCTGTGGCACTGGTGACCGCCCAGAGTGTTGCTGTGGCACTGGTGACCGCCCAGAGTGTTGTTGTGGCACTGGTGACCGCCCAGAGTGTTGCTGTGGTACTGGTGACCGCCCAGTGTTGCTGTGGCACTGGTGACCGCCCAGGGTTGCTGTAGCACTGGTGACCGCCCAATGTTGCTGTGGCACTGGTGACCGCCCAGTGTTGCTGTGGCATTGGTGACCGCCCAGAGTGTTGCTGTGGCACTGGTGACCGCCCAGAGTGTTGCTGTGGCTCTGGTGACCGTCCAGAGTGTTGCTGTGGCACTGGTGACCGTCCAGAGTGTTGCTGTGGCTCTGGTGACCGTCCAGAGTGTTGCTGTGGCACTGGTGACCGCCCAGAGTGTTGCTGTGGCACTGGTGACCGCCCAGAGTGTTGCTGTGGCTCTGGTGACCGTCCAGGGTGTTGCTGTGGCTCTGGTGACCGCCCAGAGTGTTGCTGTGGCTCTGGTGACCGTCCAGAGTGTTGCTGTGGCTCTGGTGACCGCCCAGAGTGTTGCTGTGGCACTGGTGACCGCCCAGAGTGTTGCTGTGGCTCTGGTGACCGTCCAGAGTGTTGCTGTGGCTCTGGTGACCGTCCAGAGTGTTGCTGTGGCACTGGTGACCGTCCAGAGTGTTGCTGTGGCACTGGTGACCGTCCAGAGTGTTGCTGTGGCACTGGTGACCGCCCAGAGTGTTGCTGTGGCTCTGGTGACCGCCCAGAGTGTTGCTGTGGCTCTGGTGACCGTCCAGAGTGTTGCTGTGGCCCTGGTGACCGTCCAGAGTGTTGCTGTGGCCCTGGTGACCGTCCAGAGTGTTGCTGTGGCTCTGGTGACCGTCCAGAGTGTTGCTGTGGCACTGGTGACCGTCCAGAGTGTTGCTGTGGCACTGGTGACCGTCCAGAGTGTTGCTGTGGCTCTGGTGACCGTCCAGAGTGTTGCTGTGGCTCTGGTGACCGCCCAGAGTGTTGCTGTGGCTCTGGTGACCGCCCAGAGTGTTGCTATGGCACTGGTGACCGTCCAGAGTGTTGCTGTGGCACTGGTGACCGCCCAGAGTGTTGCTGTGGCTCTGGTGACCGTCCAGAGTGTTGCTGTGGCTCTGGTGACCGCCCAGAGCCAATTTGTAATCATAGTAGCCTACTATTTTTCAGCGAGTGATGCGCTTTTTAAAGTAATACATTTCAATACATGATTACACTACACGATTTTAATGGCTTTGTTAATATTACTACTTGTATTTAACCACCTCATCCCCAATTGTTATATATTTTTTCTACATCAGTATGTAGCAAAGTACATTATATAATGCGATCATATTTATATGCTAAACTACAAACTGTACTTGTCAACCGCTGAGATGTTTTGAGAGACGCGCTGTCTTGTAGAGTTATAGCTTGCTTTACCCTCTTCACTTAATGGTGTCTATTGCTACGTTTCTCTTGTTGACCATACCACACACTAGAAGGTGAAGGGACGACGACGTTTCAGTCCGTCCTGGACCATTCTCAAGTCGATTGCGTACTCTAAGAGTACGTTTCTCTTGTTTGGAACATTGATGATTTACAGGCACAATTATATTCTCTTGCTCTGTATCGCTGAATACACCTGACTCACACCAGTTATCACTGTTTATAGTCATGCCTACTTTTTGAGTCTTGTATTCGAGTTGCAACTGTCTTCGGCTTAGACTTAGGTGGGGACAACAGACCACTAGAGTGGGAGATTAGAGATAACTAGGAACAACAGCCTGAGTCATAACAGAGGCACAGACAGACACATAGAAAAAGAGAGAGACACAGACATAGAAAGAGAGAAAACATGGCAGAAATCAGCAATTTTACAAGTTGGTCAACAAACAGTATTGTTTGAAAATAGTAAGACATGGGTTGACATTTCGGGGTAAGGTAGGTTATATGGTGTTTATTAGGTAGTAGTTAGTATTTCTCCTAAACTAGTTGAGAGAGGTACAGCCTTTGACATGATTGGGAAGGTCATTCCACATTCTGGGCACCATGATTTGCAGAGCATTTCTAGTTTGGTTAAGTCGCACTTTTGGAATATCAAATGTGTATTTGTTTCTGGTGAGGTGCCCATTGGTTCTGTTACAACCTTCTAGGAAGCATTTAAGGTCAGAATTGACATTACAGTTCAAAGTTTTAAATATATTGAGTACACATGAGAGGATGTGCAGTGACTTAATATCTAACATATTCAAAAATTTATGTAACGGTACCGAGTGCTGTCTGTGGCCAGAGTTTGATATTATAGCTGTTTTAGAGGTAATGTCTTCTTCTAAACGATATATTTTAAACCAGAGATAAACAAAGAGACAGACACACACACAAAAAGTTAGATACACGCAGCGAGTCATCAGTCTTAATGCATAAATTACACGAACACGGTTTATCGAAGCTAGAAACCTGCCCAAAGAGCTGCGCGTACTAGTAGCTTTACAAGATTGTAAATACCATGCTATGTATTCTCACAAACCCAATGTACCTTCTTGTATATAAATAAATAAATAAATAAATATATAACATGGGCATATTGAAAAAGAATCCGTAGTGTTTAC